ATTATACATGCATTCACAAAAAAAATATTTATTTAATAATCGCAACTTTCAAACGACCCCTTAAAATTCTAAATCAATATTATCATTCAGATGCTTTTTTTTCTTAATATGATTATGGTAATTTTTGGGATTTAAGGGTATTTTATAATGTCAATATTTTAGTGAATTTTTTATTTAAAATTTTAATTGAAAGACAGTACGTACTGGCGGTTCGACATTAAAACTTCATACCATAGGCTAAATCGATACGTGATATTTAGCAATATAAAACGGTTGAACCACAATTAACTTATGATTTCAGTATAAAATAATCTACTACCAATTTTTTTAATACTATTACAATCAGTTGGTTCAAACAATTCTTTTACGTGGTAACAAAAGTTTCAAGGCACATTTTGAACTATCTATTGCAAAAAAACATAAGTCAGTTAGCGATAATGAGAATATGCGATAATGAGAATATGTGATCTCATTCAACCCAAAAGACACTTTGCAACTTCTATATTTTTAAAATAAATGTATGATACTTATACCCTCGCTCATTCGTCAACTTAATGAATAACATATATTTAATGCAATATGATTTTCGTAGGTTTTCATTTATTGAATTATTACAGGAAAAAATATTTGTTGCATGAAAATTACTACATTGTTGCTAGACATGTCTGCGATCTGAGAATAATTTGGGAAGTCCATACACAACACATTGTCCAACTAACTATTAGCAACAATTTAGCATAATGTCCTATATATTTCAAATCAAGCAACTTCAGATTCATTACCAACGATGTGGTAAAAAAGAATTCTCTCTATTGGGGAAAACGTAAAGGAGTTACTAAACTCAATAATAGACATTTTCTTTCATCTTAAAGGTTGACTATGTATGTATTAAGAGAAACAACTCTAATATTCAACTATATGGTTTAATTAAGTAATGAATGACAATTAGTTATATTTATTTCATGTTCATTCAATAATTTTAAGTAATACTTATATATTTTTTCTCTTTTCATGCAGGTCTAAACACATTATGCGTAGTTGAATACTTTCAAATATGTTATGTGCATAACTAAGGTAGAAAACAATCATTTTATGCATTTCAAATCATCTATTATATATCCATTATTATATATCATATTTATTGACAATTCTTCCGGCCAACATGCTGGGCCCTGTGCTAGTTGGTACTCTAACTATGGGGCCGGATAGAATAACAATAGGGTAAAAGGGTCAATTAATCAAATACATTAAAAATAAATAAATTAAAACACAAAACAACTAAATACATGTTTATGATTTCTCCGCTCCCAAATCCCAATCCCTACGGATCTCAACCGTCCCAGCGTTCCTTCTTCTTCCGGCGCCGGCACAAATCCAATAACTCTGGTACCACATCTTGGAGCATGCAACATGCCTAGAGTCGGGTGAGGACACCGACGACATCAACGACGACGATCACTCTTCAGAAATTCGCGACAACGATGGTGAACGAGGAGCATCTGCGTGAGGGGAATTGGAACGGGAGATGGGGCAAAGCCCGATGCGGGGGCGGAGGGAAGACAAACGAAGAAGGAGGATATGGTCGTCACACTTCACCCCCTACGGAAGTCCGATCTGGAAGCTTGGAGGAGAGATCCAACCACCAACAGTGGCGGCAGAGCACTTGTCCCTTCTCTAGCGAGGGTTGGATTTTCTATGATTTTTGGGTTTTCTTGCTGGGTTTTGCTGACCATTTAATTGATTTGGGTTTCTGTGTTCGATTTCTCCTCCTCAGTTTCGCCGGTTCAAAGGATCTGCTCCAAACCGATGATTAAAATAAAAAACCAACTTTTCATTCTCTTATATGCTCTTTGTTGAACGATTCCTTTGCATTATTGTTTCCCAAAGGAGACTGAACATAACTCTGACCAATGGTTGAAGGGTGGAAACTTTGCTTGAAATTTGTTCAATTCATCGTCTTTTGGGCTTCCTATTGTTGGCGCTTCGGTGACTTTAGGTCCTTTGTAACCTGCATATAATCTTTCGGAATTGCTTTATCATACTTTCTACTGCAGCGGGTGTGAAAATGAGGTACCCTGCAATTAAATTTGGAGTTCGAATTTCTTATGGTACAACCTCAATGGAGGTGGACAAGCAAACCAGAAACTTCATAATGCAAACCGCAAACACCTTAAAGCAAACCACAAAAAGTATACCAGAAACATTCTAATGCAAACCACAACCTCTTTAAAACTACCAGAAACCCCACAACCCAAACCATAAAATTTTCGAAAGCACACCATAAACTTCTTTGCAAACCAGAAACACAATAAAGCAAACCACAAACCTCCTAATGCATACCACAAATCTCCTAAAACAAACCACAAACCTCACAAAGCTAACCACAACATTTGCGAAAGCACACCAGAACCCTCCTAATACAAACCACAAACACAGTAAGTCAAACCACAAAAAAGGAAACCATAAACGACCTAATGCAGACTACAAATATATTAAAACAAACCAGAAACCTCACAATGCAAACCACAAATTTTTTGAAAGCAAACCAGAAACTTCTTATGCAAACTACAAACACTATAAAGCAAACCACAAAAGGCATAGAAAAATATGAGAAACCAAACCATAAATCTCACAATGCAGACCATAACATCCGGTGGTCGTTGGCCGTTGACCAGTCAACGAAGTTCGTTGACCAAACCTTGATGACCGCCAGTGTGCAGATTCCGACGCCGATAGGCATATTCCAGCCCCGATGACTAGATTCCGATGCCCGTAAGCATATTCCGGTGACAAAATAGCATATTCCGGCGACAAAAAACATATTCCGGTGACCGTGCGACTAGATTTTGGTGACCGGTGATCGAATTCCGGCGACCAAAATTTGGGCAGAAAATAAAAAATATTTTAAATTTATTATTATTTTTATTATTATTTTAACATATTTTTCATAAATGATAATTATACGCCTGCTTTGATTTTATACTAGGTCAATTTAGCTAATAAAAAATCATCACAACCCTAACTTCCTATTGGTTGGAGGCTAGTGTTGTCACCCTAGCAACAAAATATGTGTTGTTACATTAACCAGTCCCCTAAACTATCATGCAAAGTTATAAAAAAAAAAAAAAAATCATGCAAAGCGGTAAAAGATGAGATCGTGAATCCACTCTATTGACCATGTAGTAGATTGCCTCACCGGCTCACCTGCGGAACTAGGCAATTGGAAAGTCAAAACGTGAAAACCGGCCGGCTGAGCTAAGGTATATTAAATCGGTGGAGGACCACCCCCAGTCTCCCATCGCATGGACCACACGGCCCGGCCCATCACTCATCCGGTCAGGTCAGGTAAGGTCGATCACCCCAGGCTCAGAAATAAAATAAAAACAAATTGTTAATTTCATATATTATTTTAATGTCAATCTTTATCGACAGAAAAAAGGGAAAAAAAGGAGATTCCGAAATTGTTAAACCAGCCAGCCTATAGATATGGACGCATTTTAAATGCAAATATTTTTGTTTATTCAGAGGAAAAGGATGACGATTGGATTTGGATCGATCAATCGATAGCTATTTTTTTTTCTTCATTTTGAATTATCTTTAGAAGGAGGATGATGATAGCTGATATGGACGTTAGCTAACAAGAGGGAAGTTGTGGGGCAAGACAAGAGAGCTCAGGGAGGAGTTCTCTACAGTTACACTAGACGGTGGATGGATAAAGTTTCTGCCTACCAATTTAAATTTCATTCTTATATGAGGATAATATTGAATTTGATTGTTATTGTGACGTTTTATTCAAGAGATTTGCCAAGGGTCATGTAGCCTGATTGGTGAACGCTCGTTGGACACTCTTTTTGGACGTGTGAAGTTCTGAGTTCGACCCCCCTCGCGATTCTTTCGTGGTGTTACCGACAATCCTAATAGGGATCTTAGTGGACGGCCCAAAGAGCTCAAGCAATTGAACTTCTAGGTTTGATCTCGCTCTGTCATCGCTCAAGCGGTGTATATGTTGCATATTGAACTTCAATTGAATTTGAAACCTTTCAATTGTAAAAAGGAAGTAACTCCAATTCTTGTTCACAATTTTTTTTTCATTCTCTAAATATTTGGTTAAGCTCTTCAGACCTCTTAAATCTTCTTTCTTGACAAACAATATGGATCCCCCCCTCCCCTAATGATTGCCCTCTAAACCCTAGCTAGCTAGGAACTTGATTCATCACACAAATTGTTGTTCCTTTGATCACCGGATTAACGGACTGAATTGCAAGATCATATACCCCTGAGAAATTTATCGCTATGTGTTGCATATTGCATATGGGTTCCGTAGTTATGCATTTTTCTGAATAAAAATTTCCCATGTACAAGCGATCTAAGGAAATTGTGTTGGCAAAGAAAAAGGTTGAAGGACTTACGTACGTAGTAATGAAGAAACAAATACTGATGAGTGATGAGCCATTTTGGTGTTGTATTCATGTTTTCTTGGACTTGTTGTTGATGAGATTTGGTGGCTTTGTTTGTTTGTTTGGATTCGTGTCCTATTTCGAGGTATTCAGATAAATTCTGTGCGCCATTTGTTTTTGCTTGGTACAGAAGGAATTGTTTGTTCTCTTACCAGCAAAATATCAATCGACACCTAGCAGCTATAGATGGCAACCTTCAGTTGTCTCTGTTGTTTGTTTTGGTGAATTAGTCGTATGGAACGGGAAAGCTCAGCTTTTATGTTCACATATTTCTTCTTCCCACTTGCTTAGAAATGGCACCAAATGGATAAAACATTTTGCAAACAATTAAGTTATGATGCCCCGCGCTCCACATCCCCATGCCCAGTGCTGATCAATCAGGTCGTGCCGAGGTGGAAACGATTTTGTCCACATGGATTCCAAGTCGACTAGTCCACCAATATAATTACTAAACTATATTAATTATTTAACTCAACAAATATGCTCGAGTTTGATTATATGATAAAAATATTTTTCTTTTTATTCTGGTTTTATAATAAATTTGCTTCGATTTGAGATTTCTTGAGCAGCCTCTATAATGAGTCTTCCTTTAATTGCTTCTCTAATTGATTTCTTTGAACATAGCCTGGTGGTGAAACCACTGGATCAATTAAGTTCTGGATGTGGGAGGTCCTGAGTTCGATTTTCCAGTGACGCCATTTGAGCGTTCCCGGCGGCACCCTTGGTATCGGAGGCGAAGCCTCCCCGATGTTGGTAGCAGAAAGCCCCGGTTAGCATGCAGGTACCCCTAGTGGTTTAGTAGGCCCCGCTGTCGCTCAAGCGGCACGTGGGGCTGAGGTTCCCTGGGTTATCAAATGTTCAAAGCAGGTTCATGTAACAAGTTTCATGCTCAATTAGTTTTTTTAACAAAAGATAATCATATATTGATTCAAAGAATAGATCGGTACACCCTGTAATTCAGCCAAGCCTGAAAATCAAATAATGACTCGTAATCGGGTACAATGCGAGGGCTTTCTGAGCCACCAAATAGGCTACCCTATTACTACTCCGACCTACAAATCGAACAGAAAGCCAGAGTAAAAAGCGAAAAGACGCATAATTTCCTCCAAGATAACCCCCATGCGATTATCACGAACATCCGCCCGTAAGAGTTCATCAATGAACGTTTTAGCATAACCTTCAAACCGCACTTCCGTAAAGCCAAGTCCCAGGCACCATAGAATGGCCTCTCTGAGGACTGGACACTCTACCACCATAGGGTCATCAATCAAAGGAATCTGAATCCCTGCCACCGAGAGGACTTCCCTATCAGGGCCTAGAATAACCATTTTGCCAGCCGAATGAGATCCACGACAAGTTGTCCCATCCCACATACAAATGGCCAAAGTAGACCCACCAGGTCCTATGCTGTTAATCGAAGGGGAAGCAGACTGGACCAGCGTATCCACCGACAAAGTCACCCACTCCTGGAGCCGTTGATTAAACTGTCGCATCAAGGCAGGGATCGAGAATTGTTTACCATCAAAGACCACCCAGTTACGGGATCTCCAGATCCGACAAAGGACAACAACAACTGCCATGAACAGAGAATGTTGAGTTACGAGTGAGAGCAACATTTTTAGGAAAAGTGGTAAAGTGTGACAGGGCAACCCTTGCCCGAGGGCCTTAAGTCTTGCGTGATCCCAAAGAGCACGTGCCACCGGACAATACTGGAATAGATGCTCCATAGTCTCTGACTCCTCCCAACAAACAGGACATCGAGGAAGCACTAGGACTTTCTTCTCAATTAGGCTTCCGTCGTGGGAAGGATTCGATTAAAGATTTGTAAAAAAAAAAAAGCTTGGGCGGGATATTAGCGTCGCATAACCGAATCCAACTGGCCATGTCCATCCAACTAACCGTAGAGAGCCATATACCTCATTGCTGATCTAGTTGGATGACAAAGTGATAAGCCGACTTAACAGTGAAGATCCCGTTGGCCGTGGCATGCCAAATCAATCTATCCTCCACACTCTGACGAGGAAGAGGAATAACCTTAATTGCATGACATGTAGGCGGATCAAACCACTGGCTAAACTTCTCGTCACACCAACGCCCTTCCCCCTAACATAAAACCTCTGACACCATACGATCACCCTCCTCAAGAAGCACCCTAAAGTTATATAGCGGGGGAACGGTGTGCAGAAGCGGAATCCAATTAAAATTGATTAGTGATGCCTTCTGACCATCACCAATCTGCCATCTCAATCCCATTTCTAATAATTGTCTGCCATACAGGATACTCTGCCAACCCCAGGATAGGCGAGATTGGCCCTTCGCAGTGAAGAAGGTCCCAGTGGGAAAGTATTTCCCTTTGTAAACTTGTGCCAAGAGGGATAGGGGTTCATTAAGGACGCGCCATCCAGTTTTGGGTAGAAGAGCCTGATTGAAATGCTCAAACCGACGAAATCTCATACCCCTATCATGTTTACTTTTGCACATATTACGCCAGGACATCCAACGAATCATAGATTGGCCTTCCTCTGCACCCCACAAAAAATGGGCAACATGTTTGTTCAGTAGTCGACAGAGCGAGAGATGCAACTTAAAGCAGGACATAACATGTAGTGGCAAAGCTAGAGCAATTAATTTAATCAAAGTTTGTTTAGCTGCCCAAGACAGAGTCCGCCGCTTCCACCCCTGTAGCCGCTCTAAAATTTTACCCTCAAATACCGGAACGTAGCCATTTTGGATTTGGGAGATCACGGTGGGAAGCCCTAGGTACTTATCATGGACTCCCACCACCCCTACTCCAAAATAGTAATAAAACACATATAATGCATATCCTACATAGCAGTCGACCACATATAACATAATTACTTCACAAGAAAAGTTTGTTTGCTAAATAAACACAACTAAATACATATATTAATTCTTGTACATAATATAAACACATAGATAAACAACTTGAAACCTCATAGAAATCACTTAATTAATAGTTAAGAGTATAAAATCAGATAAGATCGTTAGGATCAACATTAACATCACTTACACACCATCCTCATCATCCTCACACTCACCCTCACTCTCATCCTTGTTTATTTGCTTGAAGACTAATATCATTACTCTTAGGATCACTTGAACTACTTTCACCATTGATGCATTCCCTTCTTAATTGATAAAAGGTCGTGGATAGTGGTGCTAAAGGATTGGAAGATGAACGAAAGCTTACAATGGAATGGAGATTTGGATTATTGTGAGGGTGGTGGGAACAAACTACAAGCTAACTGGGAGGGTGGAAGATATCGTTGATGGAAGGAGTTGGGTGTCAACGTGTGAAGGAGGAAGATACGAGGAAGAGAATGAATATACATTGAGGTTTATCTATCGGGTTAGGGTTGTGTTGTTCATTATGCTGGATCGGGGAAAGTAATTTGACTCGGTTCATGGGCAGAACCGGACTTGACCAACTTAATTTTGCTCCAATTGATATGAACCTTGAAATCGTAAAAAATAATAGAAATCGTAGATTTTATGAATTTTAGAGTTTTCAGTAGGGATTTTATGGGATTTTAAGGGTCAAAGATTTTACAGTAAAATCAGGATCGGAACCCACAGGTAAGATTATAAAATCGTAAGATTTTAAGATTAAAATCGGGATTTTGATTACATTGAATCTGCGTACAACATCGGATGCGGCAAGCATACATGGCATAGAAAATTTGACTACATGTTAGCTTTAGAGACGGAAATGGTGGTGTTGCAAGTTTTATTAGACGTAAATGATTTGTTTGCCACAAAATGTACTTAATTGATCAGCGTACAATCTACAAAATCCTATAAGCGAATGTCAAAATATAGCATCTGCCACGTCACCCTTTGCTGAAAGCGCCGCACACTTCAGAGGGGTTTTATCGTCATTCTCTAAATCTTCTCCTCATCGATCTTTCTGTTCTGACTCATCCCAGTCGCTCAAGGTCTTTCTTCCAGTAACCACCCACGACGATTCCATTACTTCTTCCTCCGTCACCTATAATCCTCTTCTCTTTCTCCCCTTCGCAACACGTTGGTCGCCTCTGCTCTTACTTACGCTAGAGTAATCCAACAACCACTTTATCTTAGCAGCGCTCAACTCCTTGCATCCGACTTCCGCCAACTCATCCTTCATGGTCTACTTGATCGGAGTGCTATGGTGCTTCGTGACCCAGGTAATATCGGTAGCAGTTCAGCGGAAGCCACTTGAGATTGAATCAACTTCGACGACTCATGTAGCGCCAATCCTCGCCCTCGCCTTCTGTAATCAGCCCCAATCGCGGGGAGGAGTAATCGCATTAAATCTGATGTGGATTCGTCTAGGGTTTTGACTCACTCCTACTGTCACTCTAGAAAATGGCCAAGTGTAACCACTTCCTAAAGCGTAGTATAGCGGGTTTGGGTTTTAATGTCAACCCAGGTCCTAGATGTGATGACTACTCAGCGAATTCTTATTATTTAGTGGTGACACTTTAGTGCAGGTTCAAACAAGCAAAACAAGCAAAGCAATTAAACGGTTGTTTTCAAGTCGAGAGAGGTCACCCAAATATGGTTCCCCCTAGACTGCAGTTAAGCCGGATTGTAATTTACCAAGTTCAGTTTTAATGATAGTTATACTGCGGGAGGTTCTTAAGCAGTCTGAAGTCTCGACTAAAGGTCTCCAGACCCTCTCAATCTGAATCCCCAGCGGGCGACTAACCTCCACCGCAGTATACAGATTGAGGCCCTAACGAACCAAACCTCCACTACCGAAGTAAATTTGGTACAGAATAGTGAATTGGCTCCTCGACTAAAGTCGCCAATTCACTACCTTCAACTAAGGGTGCTCTATCAACCTAGGCAGATATGCTCTTTCTAGGTTAAAGCAGAAACAACAGGAATTTCATCAGGATTCATGCCATTCAATCATTCAAACCTCAAATGAATATAGTCAAATCATAGAATATGTACTTGGGTTCATACAATCAGACCTAACATACAAATCTAGGGTTCTCCATACCCAGATGAATAAGAAAACTACTCCATAGAGAGAGAGAGAGAGGGAAAATCTAGCTCAGATGCGGAAATCATACTGTGAAGGATGATAATATACTTCTGGCGCTCAATCGGATCTTCTCCAAGCTCAAGCCGGGCTCCAATGGTGATGAAGATCAAGCTAGGGCACTTGGGAACTCTGGTTCGTCACTTTCTCTCTCTAGGAATCGCTCTGTCTCTCTAAAAATCGGAACCCTTCACTTTTGGCCTTCTTTTCCCTTAAGAAGTTGTCTGTCGCGATCCTCGGTCTAAATACCCGGTCGGGTATTTTGGGTGGCAACCGTGTATGTGCAAAACGCACCGTTGTGCAACAGGGGAAATCCCCGGTCATGGCCAAGAATCCCCGACCGGGGATGTTTGCCTCCTGCCTGGGCCCCCTTCTGTTTCTCAAAGACGCCCAAAGCGTCAGATCCCCGGTCATGGCCAGATAATACCCGACCGGGTATTTCTGCTCATGGCCGGGTATTTTTGCTCTCCAGCACACTTCAAACCTCACTTGCTCCTTTCGACCCGAATCTCGTTCCTTCGCCTCGATGCCAACGCTAAGCCCTGAAATATGACATAAACGTACAACCTAGCATGAAATCGGCTTAAAACACGAGAATCAACGTCTCAAACTGCTCAAGAATAGGGGTAAAAACACGTGTAATTAATGGTCTATCAAACTCCCCCACACTTAACCGTTTGCTTGTCCCCAAGCAAACCTGACTCAAACCAATGCAACTCTCCAGACCTCTACAGCAACAAATAACCCCGATCATCGGTAGAGGATTTCCTAGATCATATAGCAGCTTACGAGGTTAACTGGTCTTCTAAGACGTTCCCTATATCTCTCAATGCGAGTACTAGACTCAAGCCAGGATCATGAGAAGAAGTAGAAGTAAGACAGTCAGTTCATGGATAAAGGGACTCACACCATTCACAATCAAGGACTCGCGATACCGGGGTGCTCTTTCACTTTATTTCACCGTTGGAACCCCTTTTTCACTTCCATTTTACTTTTTTTTCATTTCATTCACTTAGCGGGGGTTCCAACTGCAGTCTTTTGCACGGTCGACCCTTATTAGTCAAGCAAGAGCAATTTATGTACATCTGGCGCTCGTCAGAGTACTTCTTTTAACTCCTTTTCCTCAACTCGTGAGGAGGGTCAATGAAATTAAGGGGGTTCGGAAGCTCTATCCGTGCCCTTAAAAACACATCCTCAAGTAGGCAAACCGTTCAACGGGTGGAAGTTTTACTTGTATTAGAGACGGCTTAGCTTCACCTTGTAGGAGTACCCCACTAAGGATCACTAAAATCTCTTCCAAACCCCGATTTTTGTGCAATGAACGGTGCCGCACATGTTGGGCTTACCCCATGTTTAAGATTTAAAGATTTTGACATGAAGGACCAACTGCATTTCATTTTTCACATGAGCACCCTGTTCGATACACGAGTCCATAACACAATCCAAATAGAGTCATCATTATCACATGAATTCAACGGTCCTAGCTCCACTAATTCAAAAAATCAACTGGCACAGCAGAGAGCTAGATAGGAAAAATCTTATACTTCAACATCCTCCATAGTGCTACACTACCTCCCTAGGTT